CTAGTACTTCATTTATGCTTTACTCTCTTTTATTGTGTTGCATATTTTACATTTATTTCATATATTTTTATTTATCAGGGGCTAGGTGGGGAGTCTATGTGTTAGTTGTTCTCATCCTATTATTTTAATATTTCAAAAAGAGAGAAGGGCCTAATATAGTATTAGAGTGTAGAAACATGAGCTTCTATGTTTAAGTAAATGAGGTATCATTTTGTAATCCAATTTTTTTTTAACGTATAGATAAATGTAAGTTAATTGGATTAGTGTATATATAATTTGACAAAATAAAATATGTTCATTGCGTTAGTATTTGGATTTTGTAATTGCTCTTGTTGCTTTTGTCAATGGTTAAATGATAATTATAGGTTTAAGATTTAATTTATTCCTCTCATTATTATTGCTAGTATTAGGTCATTATGAATTTCTTATTTTAGGTTATAAACTTTTCTTTTATATAATGATGTAATGAATTTCAATTATAATAGTAAGAAGATAATTTAAGTTATATTAATGATGATTAAATTAGGGTGATTTCAAAGTAACTTATTTATTAGGTTGATGTTCATTGACTTTTAATGCTATTATTTTAGACTTATCTTGATTAAGTTTATCAATTAGTATTATGATAGATTAAAGCTTCGTTTGGGATGGCTTTTTTTATTGCTTCTTACTTTTTATACTAAAAAGATGCTTTAAGAAGCATTAATTAAGAAAGCCGTCCCAAACGAAGCCCAAATCTTATGCTATTATATGTTGAACTCATGTTATAATTTAGATATTAATTTTAGGACTCTTTTTGTAGGACCTTCGAGTTAAGTTCCGCATGACAATGTTGGTAGAGTCTAAAATATATTTGGAGTTCACACAGCTTTCCTGCGATAAGTAACCATTGTTTATTAAAGAATAAATGTTTTCTTCTTTATTTAGTGGCATTATCCTTAGTATTTGTAATAAATTCAAAGATATTTTAGATTGTCAATCCTACTTTTAATATTCAATTACTATAGCATATATTTTAATAAATCTTATTAATATTCATAACATAAATATCGTATGGAAAGAAAATGCTTACCTTGATTATTAATGCATAAAATCTTTAGTATCAAAATGATTCATGTAGTAGTAGGACTTATTTTCATACATGTTGCTTCTATCTAGTAATATAATTTTTTGTTTTTTTGTAAATTATTTATTATTATGGGATTTTCATGGGATTTGTGGCTATTTTCAAAGTATCCTAGTAAACTAACTATATAATTAGGCTAATTTAAACTTTTTCAAGCTAATTCATCTCTAAAATTTTAAATCATATATATCATCACTAAATCATATGACGTTAAGAGCAAACAATAATCAAACTAAGAAATAAGTAAATAATGCAATGAGTTCAAATCATATATTAACATGTAATAATTTTTGAATGATTCTGCCTTAACCTACATCCATGACTAAGGTTAATTTGTTTGGGACGGTTTTCTTATTGATTCTTAAAACAGTTTTTAAGTACAAAAATTAAATTTTTTGTGCTAAAAAAATTGCGTCAAGAAACAGTAAGAAAGTCGCACCAAATGAAACCTATGTGTCCTTTATACCTAAGATTCTTACACATCATGATTAAAAAGAAATTTACATATTCGAGACAGAGAAGCCTTTACAACATTTATCTCTTTGGTACAACATCTTTTACTATACCATGATAAACTTCCACATGGTCCTCAATCAAAACACTTCAAACAAAAAAATAAATAATAATAATATATAAAAACCATAACCTCTAACAAATTTTAATGCCTTACACAACGTGATTTGACAACATTAAAAAAATCAAGTAAACCGTCTATGAAACATCGAAGGAGAATCCCACAACAAACAAGTTACTTAATTTCATCATGATTTCAATGAGAGAAACCCAAAAAATTAATTTTTACAATAAGTGGTAAATGATCTCTCAACCAAAATTAGGATTTTCTTGAGAGGATGCTCAAAATCAAAAGGTTCAAAAGCCCTTGATTTAGTGTTATAAAAATTTAACTTTATGACAAATATAGAGCTTCATTTTACAATTAAAATTTATAAGAAATAGAATATTCACCTAATCATAGCCTTCTAACATTCAAAAATACAAGGGAACTCATCATTAATTAGATCAAGTTAATTAATGAGAAAAAATGCTTACATTATTAATATTAGTGTATTTAATTAATATTAGTGTATTTAATCAATATTGATCTATATATAGAGATAGATCTCCCAAATCTTTGGAGATAAGTAAATCAAAAATAAATTGTTAATATTCTTTTTTATTGATAAAAATCACAAACATGCTTTGACAATATATATATATATATATATTTTACTATTGACCATGACTTATGCATTGCCATTATTGTAAATAAATTAATGAGCATGCCAATATTAATGTTTGCACGTGCCTATGGAAAGATACATAACAATATCATAAAAATGTGCCAAAAAAATCAAAGTTTTCATATAATGGTGATGTGAGGTTTGGGTTGGCTTAGTGTGGTGAAAGTGGCTGGAATTTAATTAGGAAAATGGGACCCACCGCGTACTAAGAAGATATATTGTTTTATGACTTTTATAAGTAATTAAGATAATATTTTTATATTTAAAATGCATAAAAAATCGTGCACCCCCAATCTATTTTTTTATGATATATCAATTTAATGCAAAATATGAGCTTCAAAATTATTAAATTTATAATAAAATTATTTAATATAATATTATTTTTAAAATTTAATCATTTTAAAAAATCATCTTCATTTTTTTTGTCAATCTATCATAATTTTTTTTTTCAGAATTTCTCCTTTTTATGATATAAAAATTAATGTTTTTGGTGTTATGAATGTAAATCCCCAAAAATACTGACATTAGTACTAGTATGAATAGGTCTATGCCCATGTTTTTAAAAATTTATCTAAATATTTCATATTAAAAAAAGCATAATTAATATAAATTTATATTATTCAAAAAATAAAATAATTAAATGCATATATAAATATATTAAGGGAATTTTATTATTTATTTTTTTTTTTTTTGGGAGAATTTGGGGCCTAAGCCCATCTATTAAAATAAAAAGGTTACAAGTAAGAAAATCCAACCCCAAAATTAAAACGGGGGATAAAAGAAAAAAATTACAAGTAAGAGAAAACCTATACCACCCATATCAACCAATAGAGAAAGAAAATGTGGTATACAAAAAAAGTCAGGACTCAGGCAAAAAACTGCAGCTAATCTCGCGGGTCAATCGGGCAGTCAAAGAATAACCCCTTGTTGCCAAAATTGGCCCTCCAAGGGGTTTTGCTGCAGCGGTCAACATCGTCCTGCAAAAATCGTCAATTATAACTACCTGCCAGCCGCCTGCCAGCTGCCAGGAATATAATTGAACCCAGACGTTCCAAAAAAAATTTCCAGCAATCCAGCCATCCAGCAAACTCCAGACCAAATCAGAATTTGAACGAATCGGCGTAGTAGAAGAAATGGAGCAAAATAACCTTACACCAGCCAACAGCATCCAGCAAGATGTTCCCAAAACAAAGTAAATAATCTCAAAGAAGTCAAGCCAATAGGTGTTTGAGATTACAGCCATTTTTCCAATTCTCTAGCTTCACAAACAGAGCCTTTTTAATTTTAATAGCCACCGTAGTTTGACATTCCAAGATGTTGCCAAAAGTTCTATCATTACGAGCTCTCCATAAGTAATAAATGGAGGCATTAATCAGCAGACAATAGAAGTGCAACATATCATTAGTCTCAGCAATATCTTCAATAAAATCAAATATCTGATAAAGGTTGAGCCATAGTAATAGAGTTTGAGACTGAGGGATGAGCAGGTTCAAAATACCAAAAGAGAAATCACACTCAAAGAAAAGATGAGTGATAGTATCTCTACAGTCATGACAAAAAATGCAGCGAGGGTTAATCTGAAAACCACGACAGATGAGGTTATCAGAGGTTTTTAACCCATTTTTCATAGCAAGCCAACCAAAAGATGAGAATCTTATCGAAGAATGCTTGTGCCAAATGAAACGGTGCAAACTCACCACCAGATGCTGCCTAAAGAACTCTTTAGTAAAATGTTTATTTGATACTTTAGCAGAGTTGTGCCAAAGACAGGAGGTTTCCGTAACCAAAATGGGCACAAAAAGTATCAAATTTTTAATATTAAGAGGCCAACCATCCGGAACAGTCCATTGCCCGTTACATATGATAGTAGATAATGCAGTATATTTAAAAGCCTCCAGCCAACTATAATCAGAATTCATCTCTCTTAAATCCATAAGAGACTTACCAAAGCACCAAGGATCCCAGATTAAGGAAAAAAAACAGCTCGGCTGAATTTGGAGCTGTAAGCAGTGTTTAATATGGAGGGCAATATGGCTCATATGTTTCCAATAAGGGGAATATCTTTTTGGAATAGGAAACCAAAGAGAGACATACAAATTTCTCCAGCAAGAAAGCAATAACCCTTTATCATTTAAGAATCTCCTGATCATGGAACAACTGAAATTAAAAGCTAATGAATCAAGAGAAGGTAATCCCAGCCCACCATTGGCCTTAGGAAGACAAGTATCCTTCCAGGCAATAAGATGAAGTTTCCTGGCAACAATGTCTCTACCGTATAAGAACCTAGAGCAAAGTTTGTTTAAGATTTTCAGACAGAACTTTGGGAGAATAGAGCCCCTAATCCAATATGCGATAGTGTTGAAGATAGTATATCTCAGGAATTGGATTCTTCCCCCAAAAGATAACAGTTTGACTTTCCAACCCTCCAAAGCCTTAGTAATCTTCATAATGAGAGGCTGATAATCAGTGTGGAACAGCCGTTTAAAAAAATACAGGGAGCCCCAGGTATTTTAATGGTCTGTCAGTTTGAGGAATGTTAAGTAGATCAGAAATCGCTTAGATCTGAAAGAGATCCAGAAATCCAAACTCATTCAACATTGTATTGGCAATGGCTGCATAGGCGATGTCAGCGATGTGCTGTGCCTTTTAGTGTAAAAGAGAGAATGATGAACAGCAAATGCATGGACAGAAGAAGCCCCAATTTCTCAGAACTTTTTAAAAAATGATGGTTTTGTTTTCACACCGGAAATGAGTAATTCAAATATCTTTATGGAAAAATTAGCTGTCTTCAGAGTTGATTTGGTCTGAAAGTCATTCGTGGCCGAGAGTTGAAGAACGAGCGCAAGCTGTAGGAAACGAAGGAAAAATAAGGTGTGGAGGTTTGACTGTAAATTCCATGCGATCAAGAGTTTCCTGTTAGTAAAGCACACGACGTTTGTGTAAATTATAAGTCAGTTAATATAATTCTTACCGAAAAAAATCTTAGATTTTCTATGCGGCAACTTGTAGTTTTCACAAAAAAATTATAGTATTTGATTAAAAGTTTTCCACTCCATTTATTGTTTTTTTTTTCCTTTTTTCTTCAACTTCCACCTAATTTCTTAGTCTTACTATCATTGCCATTTAAGCAGGTAGTTCATGGAAGCACTTTAGTTCTTCCAAATTCTCATCTCTTTCTACATGGATTCAGCTCCTCTCTTGGAGTTTTCTGCAGGAGAAAGTGACGAGCAGGGAAGGAGGAAGGAGGGATGGCTTTGGAAATTGGTGGATGTGGATGAGATGAAGCATCAGCTGCTGTTCTCCTTCCCCATGATACTGACCAACATGGCTTACTATGCCATCACTCTAGTTTCTGTCATGTTCGCTGGTCACCTAGGCGACACAGAGCTCGCCGGCGCCACCTTGGGCAACTCCTGGTCCTCTGTCACTGGAATTGCTCTCGTGGTATGCATCATCCGCTTCAGTGATTTTGTTTTAGGCCTTTTGTTACTTATTCCTTGGAAGTAGAGATTGAAATCAACTTTTAGCTTGCTAAAGAAAATTTAAGGAGTGAAATATTTGCACATCCTAGCTACAACTATGTAACAATCTTATAAAGAGGTCATCATCATCTCAACTACTTTGGATCAATTTAATGAATCCTTGTTCTTCATTCATTCCCCTTGAGTGCAGCATGGAAGCTAGCTTCCTTGCTACCTTTCATTATTGCTTTATAGATTCGTGTCATTTCTTGTAAGTTCTACGTGAGTTTCAGACCTTCTCTCTGAAAGTATTCTGAAAAAAGTTCACTTTTAGGGAGGTCTGAAACTCAAATAGAAGTTAAAGATCAAGGAAAGGCAAGACAGTTGATAATATTGAGAAATCCAATGATATAGCTGCTTAAGGAGTCAAAAACAAGGTTAGCATGGAGTTTGATCTAGCCAATTTCTCTAAGGCTTCAACATTTATTCAGCTGTTTATTGGTTTCTTGATTGCTGATACACTGTGGCAACCTCTTAAGTAAAAGAAAATTAAATTCTTAAGCATCGAGACGATTTTTTATGTAATGGTTGGAATTTCCGGGAAAAACTCCACAGTTAAGCGTGCTCATCTCAGAGCAATTCTGGGATGGGCGACCTACTAGGAAGTTACACCAACAGGATAAAACTGTGAGACTCTTAGGCCAAAGTGTACAATATCTCAATAGTTAAGAATTTGAGTTGTTACAGATTAAATTTGCAGTGTTAATAAAACTGCAAGCTTGTTTGTCACTTCTTTACAATCTACTCTCACATCATGATTATGAAGCATTTTGCTACAGTTATAGATTCTTTTTAGCTTGTTCTGAAACAATTAAACACCTTTTGATTGCATAAATTAAACTACACGAACAGATTTTTCATGCCTCTCTTCATTTGAAGCTTAGTTATGTGAAATTATCTTCTATTGTCCTCTTAATCATTCCACTACATATGCTTTCAGACTGGCTTAAGTGGAGCACTCGAAACCTTCTGCGGTCAAGGATTCGGGGCAAAACTTTACCGAATGCTTGGAGTATATCTGCAATCATCCATCGTTACAATCTCATTCTTTTCAATCATAATATCAGTTTTGTGGTATTTTTCTGAAGAGGTGTTGATATGGCTTCATCAAGAACCTAATGTTGCAAAAATGGCTGCTATCTATGTTAGATATCTCATTCCAGGGATATTTGCCTATGGATTCATCCAATGCATTCTGCGCTTCCTCCAAACTCAATCAGTTGTGGTTCCATTAGTGATTTGTTCTGCAGTACCCTTAGCTGTTCATGTTGGACTTACTCACTTGCTAGTCCATGTTATTGGCTTGGGATTCAAAGGAGCATCTTTATCTGCTTCAATTTCGCTGTGGATATCTTTTCTAATGTTGGTGCTTTACATTAAATTTTCTGTGAAGTTCAAAGAGACTTGGCAAGGGCTTTCAAAGGAATCATTTCATTATATTCTTCCTAGCATGAAGTTGGCTGTACCTTCTGCAATGATGGTTTGGTAATTAGTTCAAATATTTTGCTTTGCTGGGAGTTAGTTTTGTGTTTAACTGATTCAACCACTTTCACTGCCTGATATTTAAAATTTGCCATGACTACTTGTCATTGTCTTTACATCTAATTTAGCTGTAGTACTAGTGTTACAATTTATTGATACTGATTTGAATTTCTTCGTGCTATGTAGAGCTTCCATTGCTTTGAATTTATTGTTCTGCATCATGGATGGACTCGTTATATTAGTTGGTGTTAGGGAACTATGAATCAGACATAAACATAAATAATAAATCACGATCTGTAAAACAGAAACGAACATAAGAGATTTACGTGGAAAATCAAAATATGGGAAAACTATAGGGAAGAAGGGAGAACAGCTTCACTATGGAGAATAGGCGGAGTACAAAACTACTTTCAAATCCTAAGCCCTTAACAACACGTTTATAGGGAAAAATTAGGGTTCGGAAAAACAAGCGGATTTCCAAAAATACTCTTACAATCAAAATTTGGGGGGCGTTGCCTCTTTGGACCTCCGATACATCTGCGAAGAGTCTGACGGTCTAGGACATGAACAAATTAACAAGGGTTGAGCTAAATTTGAAGCAACACTAACAGTTGGATTTCTGAGTAGTTCTGTAGGGAAAATTTTCTGTGTAGTGTAGAAATCCATCATTAAGAATAACCCAGACTTGAATGAACTTGTTAGGCTTATGAGCTATCTAGCTTCGTTTGGGTTTGCTAATGCTTTACTTCGTTTGTCATCAAAAATTTTCCCAAACACAAATTTTAGTATGCTTTCTCAAAAGTAGCTTTTCTAAGGCTTCGTTTGATACAACTTTTTTACTGCTTCTTAAAGCAACTTTTTAGTATAAAAAATTTAATTTTTAAATTAAAAAGCTGTTTTAAGAAACAATAAAAAAATCATCCCAAACGAAGCCTAAAACAACTTTTAAAAAGCGGTGAAAAAGTTGTCATCCAAATGGGCTTTTTTCAATAAAGCCTGCTTAACTGCATGATGATTAACAAGATTTGGTTTAGCAAAGTAATAAAAACTTTTAACATTCACATGATTGAAAAGGGCAAAACAAGAAATGGAAACTTTTAAGTGACACCAAACTGCTATACAATGTCAAATATTTCTGCAGTATGCAAGCCTTTTCATTCACATTCTAAAAACGTTGGCGAGGAACAGTTAAAGCCATCACAAAATAGGATGCCGTGTTCAGAAAGGCCTTTGCACTAAGTACATATAGAGATAAAATAACAAATATATGCTTTTTCATGTATTATTAATTGGATAACAAATCAACAACATAAAAAATTGTATTATGGCTTTGTATGTGGTAGCTTTTTTTTTCTAAAATGAAAGGCATCCAGTAAAAAAACAGTGTTTGGATGAAAAAAATGAGCTTTTTTTTTCTCAGAACCAACTTTAGAAAAGTTATTTTTGAGAAAGCAAAAAGGAAACTATAGATGATTAAGACTTCGCTTAGGTTTGGGACAGCCTTCTTACTACGTTCTAAAACATCTTTTTAGTACAATTTTTTTTTAAACTAAAAATCAGCTTTAAAAAACAATAAAAAAGAGGTTTCAAACGAAGCCTAAAACAATTTTGAAAATTCTAACATCAAAATTTTAAAAACATAAGCCAAAATAAAACAAAGCTATGCTTTATAAGCTTAAGAAGGATTGCAGAAATATTCATTTGAAATACATATAGTCATTTTAAATACTTAAAAGTGCTTCACCAATTAGACTTTCTGGTTATTACAATCAGCTACAATCTTATAAGTCAAGCGTGCATTCTTCACTCTTCACAGTAGGGATGAAATCATATTGCAGCGCAATATAATAAGTAATTCGTAATTGTTGCCGCATTTATGATCCTAGTCTCTGTAGGATGGTATGGTTGACTAGTAACTGGAGGAACTTGTAAATTTTTCCAAGGCTTGTCTATCAACCATGAAAAAAAAAAATAGTAGTTCTGTTGGGAACCTAGATTTGTAAGGTGTATGTTTCTACAATATTGCAATTTCTACTTAGTATTCTATTTAAACCAGTGATCTCAGGGGCAGAACCAACCGTAATTTTCAGTGGGGCAAACTTATAAGTAACTGTTGGCAGATATGTCGGGAGTCCAAGGGGGCAGTGCCCCCTGGTGGGGTTTTTAAAATTTTGATTTACTATTTTTCTTTGTATTTGGTTCATCATTCCCTAACAATAACACCTCTACACAATGTATTTAATTATACTGAGGGCAATTGCCTAAAGACCATAATATTTTAAAACTTTTAGGGGGAGCAATTGCCTAAAAACCCTTGTAATAAAGGCTAAAAAATAGATTGAGGTGAAAAAAATTACCTAAATAATCGTATAATGAAAAAAAATAAAAAATTTAGGGGGGGGGGGGGGGCGGGGTATTCCCCCCTAAATCGGGGGGGGGGGGGGGGGCAATTGCCCCCCGGGCTCAAAAGGGTTCCGCCCTTGAGTGATCCACTTCATGTTTTGATATTACTGTATGGCAAATAAAGCTCTTTTCATGCATGGTATAATGTATCCTAATGTTTTGATTGTATTGTTTCATTTTATATATATATATGTTAAGATATGTCTATATTAGATTTTTTTATATTTCAAAACTTGCTTGGACCCTTTGTTCAAACAAAACATGACCTTCTGAAAAAATTTGACTGTTTCAGCTTGGAATATTGGGCATTTGAGATTTTAGTCTTGTTAGCAGCACTTCTGCCAGATTCTGAAAGCAGCACATCTTTGATAGCCATGTGGTAATTTTTTCCCTCACTTTTACTCTTAGGCACTTACTAGATTTGTTTGTTCCATAGATGATATTAATATGACCGTTGGAAACTAAAAATTTCGATAACCCCAGTGTGAACACAGAAGTAATTGCATTCATGATCACATATGGACTCAGTGCAGCTGTTAGGTACATCAATGATTTATATATTCAATCCATATCTTCTTCGTTTGTTTTTTCCTTTTACATTTTTTGATGCTTAGTTGCTTACTAATTTGATAATAGCACAAGAGTTTCGAATGAGATGGGTGCTGGAAATATAGAGCAGGCTAAGAAGGCTGTATCGGTGACCCTGAAGCTAGCTGTTTTACTGGCCTTGATTTTTGTCTTGCTTCTTGCTTTTGGTCACAATATTTGGGCTTACGGTTTCAGCAGTAATCCTGAAATTGTAAGGAAATTCGCTTACATGACGCCATTTCTTGCTGCTTCTATAGTGCTTGATTCTGCTCAGGGAATTCTATCAGGTAATATATATGGCTTTTGTTCCTCTTACAAACTAAGTGTTCATTTTGAGGCAACCTTTTCAAAGATTTATTTTCCAGACAACTTTTACAAATATTTTTTCTGTCTACAACATGTTTTGCTTTCCAACAAAAAAAATTGTACCGAGAAGTAAATTTTTACAATCAAATATGTTAGAATATGATAGTAAAAAAGCTTAATCCAACTTTTTAAAGGAGAAAGTCTATAACGCTCGTATCATTTTCGGATTTTATTGTTCAGAATAGTACTGCAACTATCTCTAAACATTGATTAGTTGCAATATGAGTGATTGCAGGAGTTTCTAGAGGCTGTGGTTTGCAGCACAAAGCAGCTTGGACAAATTTGGTGACCTTTTACATTATTGGATTGCCGCTGGTTCTTCTCTTCGGATTTAAATTGGGATTGTATGATAAGGTAAATATACATGAGATTTAGATATTTATTTTTTTTTATATTAAAATCATTTATTTTGCATGCATGTATATCCTACATTGATATGCTTCTTTAGTTTTTTATTTGTGTTGAACTAATCTATGATGGCTAAGCTTCACAAATCCCTTTTTTTTCTCTTTGGGCCTTATTCAAGTACAAATTTTAGTTTTACCTATCAAACATGGAACTATTCTTTTTCTAAGAAATGGTTGTCAAGTCTCCAATCATAGCTATATTATCCATAGAAAAAATACCTTTTGTCAACATTTTTTAGGATGTGTCCCTGAAGGATGATTTACCAATATTTTCGCTAACAACATAAGCATAGGGTGTTCAAGTAACCATAGTGAAAATGTCAGAAGGACCAACTCCTTAGCCTCTTAATGAACTACGAAAAAGAATCTATATTTAAATATTTGTTCATTATAGGCAGATGTATTTCTCAGCTTGATAGGTCGGTTAATGCCCTCTTGTTTAGTGAATCAAGATTTTCGATCGAAACATGGAGTATGATTGGGTAATTTTAGGTCATATGCCCAAAAGTATTGCATTGATAAAATAAGAATTTTTTTTCATTTCTATATCTATATTTAGAACTAGGAGTTTTCAACATTGAATTTCTTGGGATATTGGCCCTCCCCTTTAAATTAGTCCAATTGCGCAAGCCAAGACAAGTTAGTGAAGACCAAGGGTTGAAATCGCTTACCCACCCAAAATCCATTAATTTCATAGCCCGAACATAGTGGAGTAGTTGGTACAAGTTTTATTTGGAATAACTTTTTTACTGTTTTGTAAAGTTATTGTAGATAGAGTAATTTTTAAAACTATTATAGATAGTGGCTTTTTAGTACAAAAGTTTTTAAAAGCAATGAAAAATAATGCCCAAATAGAAATTGTGGTTGCTCTTAAAAATATAGCAAGAAAGCTATTCCAAATGAAGCCACAGTGGAGTTATTAGCCGCTCGGCTGACTTGCCCACAGTCTTGTTGAGCTAAAAACTAGCTTCGCCAACAAAATGTAGTTTGTCAGTCATATGTAGTTGGGAAGTTAGCTACAAGGCGGTTGATAAATATAGCAAAGGAAAAGGAAGGAGTGCATTAACATAATAGAAATTCAATTGGCAATAAAGGAAGGGAGAACACGAACATTCTATATATAAATGTCACATGACAACCATGGTTGTACATAATTTTCAAATAATCATGAATTTAGATAACATCAAAGCCCTAGATCTAATGAATCCTTGGAGGTTTAAAAAAGTGAGATAAATTCATGAAAAATGTTGAATCACATTAATAATAGAGCTATCGAAATAGGTTGCAAAATGATCAAGGTGGGCTTCAAGTAAATAAGGATTTCTATCAAAACCATCAAGTAAAATTCGATCGACTAACAACCTGCTTTTACATAACATCAATATTCCAAGGGAGTTAGCTAGCTACTCTAAAATAACCAATCACATGTCACACCCCGGGTCCGAAAAGCGATACACCTTGGCAACACTGGACGCAATGAAGGGAAATAAAACCTATTTTGGATTCATAAAGAGAGCATACAATAAATACAATAGGCTATATATATCAAAGTAAACATAGGAAGTGACACTACAGGAAAATCACCCATTACCGGCGGCTTTCCGGCGGCCACTTTTCCGGCGGCTTTTAATTAGTACGAAATTTTCCGACGGCTTTTTAAAAATTTAAAGAAAATGAATAAATTTTAAAATATTTAAATGATTTAACAAATAATTATTAATAGTTATATTAACTATATTATTAATTTTCATTTTAAAATTAATTAGTTAGTTAATTTTTATTTTATATTAAATTTTATTTTAAATTAACTAGTTTTATTTTTTAAATAATTAAAAAATACTTTGTTTACAGTAAAAATATAGTTCAATATAGTTTAAATAATAAATATTGACGAAATATTCTTATTTACACAGTTAGCAAATCGGTTTGGTACCTGAAGTTTTCCCAGCTGGACACGGT